ATACTGTGGTTATACTGTGTCCGAGACTGTGCACGAGACCGGCAACAGCGCACAAACACATGCACGATTTTAACTCTCCCCACCACGCTCCACCCTGCAATCTCTCCTCCTCCTCAACTCTAAGCCAATAGCCATCGGGTACCTTCAGATTGCAGTGCCATCTATTGGTACCTAAAGATACAACCATCGGGGATCGGTTTTGGCCGCGTGTCCCGAACATACAGTTCGGTCTCCTTATCTCTATTCTTCATGCCTAACAAGAACTACAAAATTTCTTCACTAAAGCCCGCTGCAGACGATGCTATTTTTCCTGCTGGATTGCTTGCAATTTAGTAAATTACTAGGAATCCTGAGTGCTGAGTGGTGCAATGATAGTAATTTACTAAATCACAAGCAATCCAGCAGGAAAAATAGCATCGTCTGCAGCGGGCTTAAGCGACCTACCCCCACCATATGAGTTGCAAGACCTGTATGTAAGACCATAGACATAGTATATCTAGACTGCTGGTTCTCTCAAATTTCAGGAGTGGGGGTAGAGCTCACGTAGAAAAGGATGCACTCTGTTTCGTGTCTGTGCGTTCTCTCTCGCACAGGTTAGTAACTGCTTCCCCTTATCCCCTCTTTTCGCGTGTGCGAGAGAGAACGTTCAATGCACGAAACAGAGTGCATCCTTTTCTACGTGAGCTCTACCCCCACTCCGCCAACCAGCAGTCTAGATATACTATGTCTATGTGTAAGACCGTGGTCGGCACCTTTGATCTAGGCGTTCTCAATTTTCCGCCATGTTTTTAATCGCCCCAACAGTGTATCAACGGCTAAAAGTGCCTGGGCCCTTTTCAGGATCGTATCCAGGAAAGGCGCGTACGAACTAGCGTACATTATTTATTGTAAATGGAAATGGCCTATGAAAGAAAATGTTCTAATAAAAGTAATTAATGTAATTACTTGCTCCAACGTATAAAAGTATTAACGCGTTAGTCGTCAACACTGCGAATTTTTCAATGTCACACCGACTTTGCACTAACACACGTACAAAAATTCTGTGATTGGTCATAACTAGAACATGTCGGATGCGCAGTACGGATCGGCGCGAACGTGAAACAAAAGAGCGAGTGCCACTACTGGTTATACTGTGGTTATACCACAGATGTTATACTGTGTACGTATGACAAAAGACGTGCGCGCGCGCAGAACGACACGAAGCCGACGCCGCTCGGCGCCTCCGTAATCACGGCGAAAGAAAACGTCGTCGTCACGGGAGCGTCGTATTTTTGGAACCGAACCGTAATTCACGAATGCGCGCGGCGACCGAACATTCTTCCGACGAGTTGCGTCCGCAACTTCGGCCCGTTCTTAATCGGTTCGGGGGAACCGCGAATATACGCGAAATATTGAACCAATCGAAGTGCGCAAACGGCTGTAAAAAAACACGCGAGAGATCACGCGCGATATTCCGAAAATATTATATTATAATAATGTGGAATACATGACGTTGATTATAAGTTTATAAAAATATGTATGAAATATTTATTTCAATATCTTCTAAGTATTTAACAAAATATTTCACACATATTTTTGTAATTGAACAGATATTGTAATAAAAATTTATCATAAATATGTTTTAAATGCTTGGAAAATATGCTCACAATGTTATGAAACAATGGCGGTTCCAGCAAATATTTGATAAATATTTACAAAATGTATTTTATTACAAATATGTATTTTTTATTTACCGTAAATATTATATAAAATATTTACTCTATTTTAATAATACATTGAATAAAGACAAATAATATTAGTCGCAACGGGCGATAATTTTAATTAGAAAAGCTTATTTCTAATTAAAATTATCGCCAGTTGCGACGAATATTATTTGTCTTCATTCAATATATTATTAAAATAGAGTAAACTTCCAGATAACGTTAATCTTTTTCACAGTCTCAAATATCGCAAAAAAGCTATATTTTTACACAAACCTCAATTGCTTTAAAAACCTGACATGCTGATGAAACTTGGTTTGCGCCATCGTTTTTAGCACCCACAAATCTATAAGAGACACCTTATTTAGTTTAAACCATTTTTTTTACTGTAAACTAGCGTTCTTCTTTTTAACGAACAAATTTTATTAACTCGTTTAACCGTTTAATGCAATCTATCTCTAGGACATCGAGGAGGGAGATAACGAAACACTCGCTCGTAATGATTCATTATTTTTAATGTAATTTGTATAGTAGCATAGTATTATAATATTAATTAAATTAATTATACATATTAAATATTGTTTTTTTGTATGCACTGTGTAACCAAGTAACAATACAGACGAGACTAGTAGAAGATGACCTTCGTAGCACTACCCCCCCCCTTTTACTCCTTGGCGCAGAATTAATCTTATTTGTCGTTTTTCTTTTTTTACGTTGTTAATTAACACGGAAATACTTCCGTAACATTTATGCTTATCTATCTCCAAGTGTACTCTTTCATTCTCGAAGCACGACAGCGTTTCATCGATTGATCAGTAAAACAGAAAGGGAAGCCCCGTTCCGATTTGATAAATTATTTCACTCGAAGGATGGTCGATACGAACAGCTAATTGAACGAATAAAAAAAAGAGCGTCAATGCATCGTCGTCATCTCAAAGGCAGGGGCAACGACGAGCTATCAGATCGACGGTACGAATATTCACCCTTTCGGACATGATAAAAGCGCGTTCTCGTAAAAATATCCACACGATCCAGTCTGCCGAAGGTAGACTTTGCGAAGGTATCGCTACAAGTTCCGCTCGGGATTTATTAACGGAACACGATAGCAGACTGACTGCAGAAACTAGGCAGAATCTGTTCTTTCTTAACCGCCTAGATGATACATTTCATTCCGCTCGATTTCTGCTGGCAATCTACTGTCAAATTACATCGGGCTATAGCAAAGCTGCAGCGGAACGCGGGATCAACGCGATGCGAACTACTCGAATCTACTCCGACAAAACTGCCGGCATATCGCGGACATCTCGTACACCGGATATTTCGCGTATTGCTTTTGAGATATATACGCTAAGTGACAAAGCTGTCCACAGCGTTCTCGTAGAGAAAACAATAAAAAAGCAAGCTTTCGAGATATATAAGTATATATATATATATATATCGGGCGAAACGTGAAATTGACGTTTTGTTACCACCAATTAGCAATTTAGTCACAAATTTCTTAATAAGGACCGCAACCCGTATGGTTGAAACATCGGAATTAAACTAATAAACCATCCGCCAGCCTAATGTCTAACGATTCTTCTTTTCTGTTAGCCACAAATCTTCGTACATGTTTATACATGTACTTTTGGCGACTCTAAAATTTGCACACTGTTTGTAACTTTATTCGTACCGCGTGACAAATCGCTCGATCTAATTTCAGAAAGGTAGTTGGACAAACTGCCGATGCCTTTGAAATTCGTCAAACGTTGATCCTGTGACAATAGGGCGTGTAAGATACGTAGAGATAATTTCATCAAGGACTGTTACTGCGATGCAACTCACCCGAGGCAATTTGTTGTTCCGGACGAAACCTTTACAGTTAAGAGATTTTCGCGTGTCAGCTCTTAAAAAAGAAAAAGCTCTTAAAAAAGAAAAAATACATTTGTCGTCGCAACGCCTACGTACTTGTCACAATTTAACTACCTTATTGTACGGTGCGTCGATTCTAATTCCCGCACGTTATATCTGAGTCGATAGCAATTTTCTCGCCTCTCTACGTGCGAGTAGTAGCGAAATATATATCTAAGTATCTTACGTCACAGAGCAAAAGGGAAAAAGAATGTCAGATACCGACGATACAAAGGCACGACCGATCCTCGACGCGTCGTGTCCTGAGAACGGCGATTACTCGCGAGCATTTTGCCACAGCGAAAAGCCGACTAGCTGGACTAAGAAACGAGCTCGCGATAGAGCAACGATCGAGCGCGTGCCGATGTGCAGCCTGGCTCCTTTCATTTATTTAGAAATTGACGTTGTGCAAAGTAGATCGATGTACAAACGATGCTAACGGAATTAATCGTGGCGATGCGCGGTTACCTTTTATTCTAGCGTAATGGAACACGCAATGACAATCACATCGCTAAATCGGAACTCGAGCGACGGCCAATTTTCGTGACGGTCGCGAAGGTTCGCGCGGGGGCAACAAGGAATAACATCGGTAATGCAATAATAATTGTAATATATGCAAAGTGTTGTAGCGTACTTATATACTCGCGGGGGAGACGGTTTCGTCGTGGAATTCTTGTCCGATCGAATCAATAACCGGCACTCTTTCGGGAATCAAGTATCTGTAGCTGACGTTGTTACTCGTCGACGGTTACCAACACGAAAAAGGCCAATTGATGGGTGTGCAGGTAGCGCTTTATCGTCGAGGAGGCTGAGCAACGAGGTCGAAGAACAAATCGCACCTTTAAATAGTGGCCGCTGGTTAACAGCCACTTTGCGTTACGCTGATCGCGATCATCGACCGGGCCCGTTCTGAGCCGTCAAACAATCAAGCGGCATATGCGAAGTACGATGGACAGCAACGAAAAGAAGGCTCCCCGCGCTGCGGAGCTGCGTAACAGCAGGACGCGTAGCATTATTATCAGCACCCCGAGTTGCACGGCCTTGTGAATCCAGTACAATCTGTACAAACAGACAAGTGAATCAGAATTGGAAAAATGATGCGTCAACTCCTACCAAAATAATAAATTGAGATAATTGCCTCATTATTGTTTCTCGAAGCAATCATATCGTATCAGAGAAAATATGCAGATTTATATTTGTAGTAAAATAATACGAATGGATGATGAGTAAAAAGTGCGTGTACTCAACACGAAAATAGTTATTTAAAATAATTGTTCGAATTCGAAGGAATGTGAATGAAAGAAATCACATAGGGAGAGAAAGAGAAACTCTAAAACACAGAACTCTCTTCCCATACAGCACAGATGGTTGCAGTTACATTGCAGAAACGTTGCAATCTTGCAGAGACATTGCAGGGATATAAAATTGCAAACTTTCGATAGCAATATATTGCAGCAATGTTTCAAAAATAATGAAAATACTATATTTTCTATTTAAAAAATGTTTCTAATTACGAGAATTTTATAATATTATTTTCGTTGATACCAATAATGCGCGAATTTTGAAGTACTTGATCAGTGCGGTGTTGCTCGCAATCTCCATCTATTGCAAAGCGACATAATCTCCTTAGGTTGCTTCGCAATAGCTTGCCGTGTATTGAAAAAGGCTCGGATGCATATGTAATTAGTAAATTCTCCCATACAGCACGGAAATTGCAGCAACATTGCAGAGATATTGTTTTGAAAGATTGCATTATTGCAGCAAAATTGCGAAATGTTGCTGCAATATTGTAGCAACATT